AGACAGAGAGGAATTACCAGCCAGTCATGATGATACTGTTAATTTAGGACAGTGACGTCAGCTGTCACGAGCCTCCTGCCCTCAGTGGTGAATATCAGTGAGCTAACGTGACACCGTCCGCTGTTACGTTAACGTTAACGTTACTTTATTATATTACTTTATTAATCGCTGCCGTTAGCTAACTGTAACTGTATCTGTTAGCAAACAGCGAGCCTGTTCTTCTGCTCCGTTACACTGTACACACACAACTGTTGTATTCCACAAACATGTTACTGTGAACACATTCCTCTTACCCGGCTTAAAGAATTTGTCTTTAGTAAATGTTTCTGTAGCAGATATCTTCCTGCAAATGTGAGGCGCTGTAAGGACGCCGCCATGTTGTTTCTGTCACACGGCGCATGTGCAGTTTTCAATTACGCAACCATACGAAACATCCGCTCTTTATTAAGACAATAAAAGCCAGAAGACTTTGGGATTATTAAAAAAAGTAATACAGATTTAAAGTACTTCTACAAAAGTTATAATAACAAAAGTGGAAAGAAAAGGAATAACGTCTGGATGAAAACGATCTAAGGGGGTGTATGTGCATTTTACAAGCTAGTATAGCCATAGATAGCTAATGGAGGGATAGAAACTAAGTATATATTGTTTAATTCCCCTTGCTCATTTTGTTTTATTTTAACATGCATGTTCCTAAAAACTCTGCAATACAAGATTTTCCATTAACTTTGACTATGACAGTATAAAAATGTAAATAAGGCATCTATTTTCTACTAATATTGTCTTAGTGTCTTTTGTCTTTCATTAATGCAGTGGGAATGAAAAAGACATTTTGCTTTACATTGAAATTACTTAATTTAATATATAAATCTGAAAGCAAGTGTGCAGTGAACTGTTTCATCATTTATATAACGACTTAATTAGCAGAATTAAGTCGTTAAGTCGAATTAAGACATGTGTTTACAACTTTTTGGATCATATTAGATATACTTATGTGTTGGTGTTTAGGTTTGCTTTGCTCAGTATTATATAAAGTGACTTTTTTATTCTACTTATTTTTTTCTTGCACGTTTACTTTGAAAGGGTCTGACAGTTGGAAGGCGGAAGTGTTGCTTTAGCCCAGCGCGAATTTTCTTCAAGTTTCTGTGCTGACTGACAGCCTCAGCTCAGCAGCTCGCAGTGAGTTCAAGAGCCACGCAGGGCTAAAATACTGTTTCATGCAGATCCGAGAGTCGGCTGCTGTGTCGGACACTTGAAGGTATTTCTCTTCCGGGGTTATTATTAACTTCTGTGTATTGTTAGCTGCTAATGGTGTAGAGTTCGCTAGCTATTTGCTAATGAGTGGCCACAACTTTAGCTGATGCATTGAAGCAGCAGTCAACAGCCATTATCTTTGGTGTGGCTTCCAGACAGAAATGGCGGATAGCGGAGATCTAATGGACGGTGATCTGGAAGATGGAGAGATCTCCGGGTCCGGCTCGGATACTGAGATGGGAACCTCCGCCGCAGCAGCACAAGCTCGACCCCAGGTTCCTCCAGCTTTTGGCGGCCAGTCCTTCCAGCACAGAGCCGCTGCCCAGCCCTCTGCCGCCGCCTACCGCAGCGCCGGTGGGACGGTGGAGTCCAGCGACAGTGAGCAGGACTCGTCGGACGAGGAGGCGGCTGTTTGGCGCCGAAAGCGTCAGAAAGTGTCCAACGCTCCCCAGCCGCCTGCCTACACCACCCGGGCTGCGCCGACCCGCATGCCCGGCCCCGGTGCACAGGGAGGCCGCAAGGTTAACAACATCTGGGGCTCTGTGGTTCAGGAGCAATGCCAGGATGCCATAGCTGCAGAGCTGGGCATATTTGGCATGGAAGGTGAAGTTAGCATGTCCAGCAGAAATGTGGAGACTTATAACTTTGTCCTGGCCCGTAAGATAATGGACAAGGAGAGGGAGATGGAGAAGCAGAAGGATGATGGAGAAGTGAGCATGCTGGACGCCCAGCTGGAGGAGTACATGAAGGGCAGGGAATCTGAGGAGAGGGCAGGAGGTGACGCAAAGAGGAAGAGGCCGGCTAAAGAGAGACTGGGGCCCAGGGCTGAGATGGACATCAAGGGCCGGTATGAGATCACAGAGGACGACTCTGACGATAAGGTGGCGGATGAGATAGCACACAGGCTGCAAGAGCCTAAAAAAGACCTGATAGAGCGCGTTGTTGAAGTTATTGGGAAGAAAAAAGCCATAGAGCTGCTTGGAGAGACTGCCACGCTTGAGGAAAGCGGAGGCGTGTACACCATGGACGGCAGCAGGCGACGGACGCCCGGTGGCGTGTATCTCAACCTGCTGAAGAACACACCCAGCATCACTAAGGCCCAGATCAGGAAGATATTCTTAGAGGAGCACCAGAAGGAGTATAAGTGCAAGAAGGCCGCCCAGAAGAGGAGGCGGCACATGGTGGCCAAGAAGATGAAGCAGGCCATCGGCACGCTAAACCTGCAGGAGCACGACGATGTCTCCAGGGAGACTTTCGCCAGTGATACCAATGAGGCCTTGGAGTCACTGGAGGAGGCTGCAGAAGAGGAGGAAGAGGAGGCTCAGGAGGAAGCTGCTGTAGGCATTGAGGAGACAGCGGTGGTCTACAACTCTGCAGACCTGGAGGTCTTCTGAGGACCGCCTGCTGTCCGAACACTGGGAGGGTTTGAACAGGACGGGACATTTTGTATTGAAATGAAATCCAAACACTTAAAACACAGTATAAGCACTGTCTCTACTGAGTACAGAATCACACCTGAGTGTCCTTTTTTTGTTTGTTTGTTTTACCTTAGAAATAAAAAGAGAGCTTATGTTCATTAAAATGTAGTTTTGTTGGGTAAATGCATGGATCTGTAGAGTTCAATCAAAGCGATCAATTGTACCCACGTTGTTGCAGCATATTGGAGTAACAGTGAGGCACTCTTGTTGATTTTCACTCTTGTTGATAGTAACTTTCTTTGTTCTAATTAAATTTCCATTATGAGATAAGGAGATCTGGATTTATTCAATTAATTTGTGACTATAAATAAATGTGACTGACAAAAATGACAAACACTAACTGGTTAGCACACTGGGCTGTTTCAATGCTGGTCACTATAAGAAAAATACTATTCAAGGCTATTTCCTGTTTATTTATTTTTAGCATTGTTATACATAAATATATATTGATATCCAAAGATGCATTGGTTTGGACAGCTGTTGTGGTGCAGAACTTTGTCCACTAGATGGCGGACACATCATGTCAGAGAAAGTATTGATCGACACAAGGAAATAAAAGGATATCATACAAAAGAACGTTGAATAATATATGTTAGAAAAAGTACTGTGTACAAGAAGACGGATGTGATGGAATGTGCTGTATACAATATACACTCAGTATATCCAAAATATACTGCAATATCAGAAACACACACAAACCCAGCAATGAAACCTAAGGTAAGTTAAGATGAATGATGACACTTGCCATAAGGAAATAACAAGAAGAGCACTTAACAAGATTGGGATGGGTTAGTGGTTTAAAGTGTCTATAGATAGCAGCACATGCAGTTGTACTGCATTTAAATGAGAATGCTATCTATCCACAGACTGATCCTAAAATAGACAGCAGTATAATATAACATCGGTGGCAGCAGATGGTAATGCAAAGTACATCAGACAATGTTCTGGTTACACTGCATTATCACACTGAAGAAATAGTCCCTATGAAGACGGTGGACTGTGTTTTGTAACTGGGACATGAACTGATGCAAAAATGGGCAGCTAAAGGCCTTTGGGGTAAGTGAAGAAATTGGTTTTATTTGTAATTAGGGTTAATCAACCTTTTAAAACTAAACATATGTGCAGTCATGTATTCATATACTATAGACAGACAGGACAAGACTTTCCAAGGCCAATTATGTATAAACCTACCTGGCAATAAATGCAATAATAAGCGATTATGATTCTGGTCCACATCTCAAACACACACCTGCACTGATCAAATGCATTAATTCCTAATAGTTTTTGATACATTTACAGTCACACTAATTAGCTGCGTTGAACTTCACCAATATATTATTTTGTTTAAGAAATCTGCTTTCCTAGAGGACGGACAGGGAATGGTAGAATTGCACAATCTTGCTTATTGTCCCCCCCTTTTAAAAAAAAAAAAAAAAAGTGTTGCATATACCAGACAGAACAAGTGGGTGGCAGCAAAGGTCTACATATGGTTGTATGAACAGTGTTCTTTGACAAAGCAAGGAGTCAAATACAAAATTAATGTTTTGTCCTTAAGGGCATTCTGAAACATGTTCCCTGTTCAGTGTTTCATTTACAGAGGTCTAAAGTTTAAAAGTTTAAAGCCATTTAGTCCATTAGCTCATAAGACTTTATATCAGCAAGAATTATTATGCTTTAGTTTACAGGTCTTGTTATTTCCTAATAGTTTCATTGCATGAACGTATTATAGGAAAATAAAAAAATGGATTTTTAGTTAGTTGTACTGAGTTCATATGCAACTGTTGATTTCCAAATTTCACTGTAACAACGCCTCTATGTAAACTACAGTAAATATTTATTCATTTGCTCTGGTAACTTTATTGTTTATGTAAGTTAAATTGTATTTGTATGTGCACTGACCAAAAGACAGTAGGTTATGGTAGCTTAGCATTTAATTTAAAATAAATAACAATAATTTAATAATATTTAAAGGTGAATCAACAGTTTTTTTGGCCACTTAGGAGCAAAGGAACAAGCTGTAAACACAACATCTGACAGCATTATCGCCTCATACAGTTATATGAAAAAGCAAAACGTTCCTATTTACACATCCGGATGATACAGAGCAGCATCAGCATGAGTTGTGTTTCTGGCGACCTTTTAGCTCCGTCTCGATCTCAACCAACTTATCCTGCTACAGTAAATTTTAAACTCTTTTCTTTGCTGCTAGGCAGCTGGCATACAGTGGCTTTATCAGCTTTTTTTTGCTGCCTGCTGCTTCTGAAAACAGGGTTAATGAAAGTGAAGTAAACAGGCTGTAAAAAACAAAATAATGAGCTAAAACAGGCTAAAAAG